GATAATCCATCCACAATACGAGGTTAGTCATTAATATACTGCAACAACATGGGAATAGAGCAGCTGCCAGAGAATTCAACATTAATAAATCAATGGCAAGGAAGTGGAGGAAGAAAGAAGAATGAGTTGAGTAAATTTTGACTTATCTGACTGTTTTTGTTTCTCTTAATGGGCCTTATAATCCGGTGCGCATTATGGTCCGAAAAATACGGTAACTGAATATTTTCATTAAATATTTCTGGGTCTGGCTAATAGGCGTATTTATGAAAAGGTAACAAGGGGATCTCACAGAACTTGACTTGGTTATTACTGCATCTATAATCAACATCGTCCAAAACAAGAAAAATATTGTCTTTATTGACATGGAAATATGTGCTGATGTATGGTTATTCCAATGCTTTTACATTACAACAGTATAATCTTATCCTAACATATGAGTAGTATAACAATTTACTTTCCCTGAAGTATAATTAAGTAGTAGAATGCATTTATTTTAAGAAGAAACGTAATGAATAAAGTGTTATACATTACTTTTTTTCAGTAACAACCCAAACGATATTTCTAACAGTGTTCAAATCAGGATTCAACTTTATTGATTATGTCCAGCAAATGTCAGTGTTACACAAAGTTTGTTTGAGCTGGAAAGAAAGGGCGTGATGATTTGGCAAATTCTTGCAAAAGTTTCTATGTCCAACAGAAAAAAAATTAGCTGCTGTTACACATATTGCCTCACTATCTGTTAATGTAATACTCCCTTACAATACACGTTAATTTTTACAAATGCAGTATTTTTTTGGTTATCACACTGATAGCTGTGAATGATAATCTGTAAGTAAAAATAAGAAAAATAATTATCTCTTAATTGTAAACCAAGTAAGATACTGAAACAAAAACCAGCACCACATTTACCATCCTTTCAAAAGATTAAGTACAGGAATACTTTTAAAGACGCGATTCTATTGTTAAGCAGAATCCCCAATGTTCCCTTAATCATGGTAAGTTTTAAAGTATGAGGCAGAGTCAATTCAAGAACTTCCTATTAAGTCTGTAAATTATTACCATTCAGTCCCACTGTCCTTCCCATTCAGAAGATGATTTGTGAGGTCAGACATCAATGTTTTCATTAAAAGCTCCATCTGAGTTCAATCCAAAGGTGTTTGGGGTTGAGGTCAGGGCTCTGTGCACGCTAATCACATTCTTTCACTCCCAAATTCTCCAACCATGCTTTTGTGGACCCTATTTTGTGCACTGGAGTGCAGTCATGCTAGAACAGAAAACAATGTTTCCTAAACCCTTCCCACAAAGTTGGAAGCATTGAATTCTCCAAAATATCTCGGTAATCCAAAATACAGAACCAGTGATTAAGAAGTGTGTTAAAATACATTTAGTTTTATCATGCAGTTATGACAAAGACAAGCAAAAAGAAAAAGAGTTTACTAGTACTCATAAAAAGGATGTCTGTTGCTAAAGTTTCAGTCCCAGTTACAGCAAAACACCTTAATAGGTATTGTAATGTCCCTGTCTGGGTGGGAGGAAGCTGCTTTAGCCATAAGGACATGCCAGTTAGACATCATGTTATGGTTCCTTTTTTTTTTAATATAACATAATGCAGCAGTGAAATTAATCATAGGATACATATCACAAGAGTTTAAATGTATTTGTGCACAAGTGTTTTAACTCTGTTTTTGGCCACACTTTTTACAGCTATGACTGACTCTGCTGCTCTTATTCAACTGGACACAAGGCAACATAATTGGACCTGTACCTAATCCAGAAAGCCGGGTACACAGGCTCTGTAAAGGTGGTGCGGAAGGTGTAGAAGTGTCTCAGTGTTTTATGGGAAACTTGGTAGAAAGACAGAGTGCCAGCAGACCAATCAAGAAACACTCCGACTCTGCTGCAGCCATTACTGGGAAGAGTGCAGCTCCACACTTTACCATTATGCCATGCATTGAGTGCTTGTTCATACACACCCAAATACCAGGATTTGCGATTAGAACCAAGTCCTATGTCCGTACTGCTCCCCTTCCTTCCAATGCTTTGGTATGTAACAGCTACACCAACATTATTGTTAGAACCGTTACTCAACCTAACTTCCCAGTAATGGCGCCCAGTCAGCCCCTCCTTGCACAGAACCTGAGGCAATGAATCAAACCTCTCTGGGAGGTCAAAATTTGTCTGACATTCTCCAAATGTTGCCTTCTTGTTTTGTTCAGATAAAGCGAGGAAGCTGTATGCTGTATTTGGATCCAGAGTGAGATCACAGGCATCTGTTGGAGAGAACAAAACTGGTTCACCATTCACAATTATATAAAATTAGTTAATGAGTTACTTTTCTTTATAAATGTTAAAACCTTTTGAGTGACTACAACAATGTGTTTGGTCCACTGAAAGTATTGCCTTAATAGTTCCTGTCCATGCTGCTGAAACAGACATCTATTTCTAAAACAATGTTAAAATCTGTTGGTCATTGTTATTCTCCTGCATTAAATACATTTTTGTCACATTTATCCTGGTGGAAGAAAAAACTCTTTGTTCTCAGTCATTCAGGTCATGTTAGTCTTGAGAGCTTAAAAAAAGAAGGCAACTGGATTTCTTTAGGTTTGATCTATTAAAGAGGTAATCTATGCCCACTGTGAATGATCATTATTGAACAGAGTGGTGTCATAAGCCCCTACCTTCCCAGGCATTTCATCCTCCACTCACCTCTTTGACTTAGGTGACAGTAGGTCAGTAGCTCACATAATGGGTTGGGGCAAGCTCTCTCAGCGGTTTCATCCACAAGTCTATGATAATATCGAGCCATACTCCCATTGTCATTACATTCATTTGTCCTTGCTCTTTATCATTGTGGAAATCACCCAGAAGCTTATATTTTGGTAGGGTTTCATGATTCTGTTGGTGATGGAAATAGAAAATAGCTGTGCGTTTCCCTCGAGGACAAGCTGTTTATCTGTTTATATGTTTTCTATAACAATTCTCCCTTGGAGAGCTATTGCTTGTGACACTAATGACTAAGTTAATTTCATCCTATTTTTATCACAAAAATGTAAAACAAATATGTCTATTTTTAGTTTAATTTAATTTAAAAAAGTGAACAACAGAATAAAAATGTCGAATTTAATATCTGATGTTTATTGATGCAGTCAGCTGTGAAGTTGGACAAAGGGATGCACATTAAGGACAGAACACACAGGATTAGTATGTTTTGGGAAAACCCACACTAGGAGTTAAAAATAAAGGAATTTCCACAATTTGATTTTAGAATTCCAAAAGCCTCTTGGATCAGAGGTGAAATGTCTCCACAAACCTAAACCTAAAGTCCAGTAGCCTTCCATTTTCAAGGTCTTAAGACACTGTGTATTAAAATAATCAGCAATAATGTCATGGGACCAAAAGGTTAGAGTCAATCTGAACTGAAAGAGTGTAATTTTGTTTACACCATGATTGGTACTTACACCACATCAGATCTCTTCTGCTGGTTACCTTTTCCACATCAACAACTTTAGGCCCTGAGAAATCATCGGTGACCAGGACTGTGTTTCTGTAGTGGTAGATACTTGCTCCTTTGTATTTGTCATTTTCAATGGCTGTAATAAACAGTCTGCTACAGTTCTTCACAGCTTCTGCCTTTTCTTTCATTTTGGCTATAACTTCATGTGAGGAGTACCATTGGTCCTGGGTAGATGGCGTGACACCGTCAGTATCTTTTGATTTAATTTTATCCAAGTAGTCAGACATGTTCTGCAGATATGGGTCAGTGAATTTCAGGGAGGTGAAAACAAAGCAGAGAACATCCTCTACTCCTGGTTTAAACACCTCTCTTTCCAGCTCAAACTGATCTGAGATCATCTTTGTTCCCTTCATCATGTCTACGATGTATCTGATCATGGTGACTTCTCTCTCTTCCTCTTGGACCCATTTCATTAATTTCTGTTGACTGAACGGTGACTTCTCTCTGCCATCAAACACTTTCTCTAATTCCTGCACATCTTCCTCACCTGCCCTGATGGAGGGAAGTTTCTTGGCCATTGTCTGTTCGAGTGAAGATCGGAAAAATATGCAGAGCTTCTGAAATCTGCTCAACTTTTCTTGTATCTGTGGAAAGCTTCTCACCACTCTGTCCTCCAGCAGATCATTGCATCTTATTTCCAGATTATGGAACCCCTTCAGTGCATCTTGAGCCTTTATAACAAGTCTAATGCTGATCTCTGTCAGCACCTCAGCAGCTTCTGGATGTAAATTCTTCAGAGGCATCAGTGTGACCTTCAGGGGTACACCATTTTCTTTGTTTTCTCCCAGTCGTTTTGGAAGTTGGCTGAATGTCTTCACTGCATCTTCAAATGTTCCAGGGTTGCTTTCAAGAATGAAGTCTCCATAGAATTTACAAGTGAATTTATCAGTCACAGCTTTTTCCTGATCACTTAGCTTGATGTCAACTTTTCCGTCAACATTAAAAGAGGGAATCTTGTTTATCACAGCTTGCATGGTTCCCTTGATCTCCTGAATACTGCTACTATCTAACTTCTCACTTTCAAACACAAAGAAAGCATTTGCTCCATAAAGGATTCCTGTGACTACATGTGTTGCCAAATGCTTCACATCGTCTGCTCCTTGAGTGTTCTTGGTTTCATCAGGAGACAACATCAGCTGTTTGAATTTGGTGGTAGCTTTGTACTGAAGCGTGATTTGGCTCTGTTTGTGAGATTTCTTCTTATCATTCAGATATTTGGCTGATCCCCCAACTTCAATGAGTCCTCCAAAGAAACTGGCCTTCAGTGAAGCATCAATGCTCAACAAAGATGACTTATCTTCAATGGAATCAGAGCTACTAACTTCAAAGTTACTGCTGTGATGATCATTTTGCACCGATTTCTCCTGTAGAGTTTTGTCATCCCACAGTGTGACACCTGTAAGATGTGAGATCCACAAACTGGTTAAAAGTCATTAGAAATCTTACCAGAGTGTATACTTAATCTGTTTTTTTTTAATGCAGTGCATTTAAATTTCATATCCATTTGTTATATTTATTTATTATTCGGTTCTTTTACTACAATACTACTACTAATAATAATATTACAAAGAACTTTAAATGGCAATACACTGAATAAAATAGAATAAAAAGGAGCAGATTAGCACATGTCTCATAAAGAGTTACTGCATGCATTCTTCATATTTGTTCTTTATGTCTTTTGTGGTAACTGAGGTGAATTACATTTTACTCTATAAAATTTTGTTGCTGTTTGGTTTTATAGCTATTCAGAGAATAAGATGTTCTTCAAAACTTTTGGACCAAGAGATTTTTTTTTCTTGGTCACAGTTTTAGATTTAATTTTTTTTATTGTACAGCCATAAATTAAACCCAATGTCTCAGGTATTGTGAATCCCTGAGATGAGGGGCTCTTCTGAGTGATCTCAATTACTCTATAAAGTCACATATTAAATGTGCTGTAATTTTTATCTTATCAAAGTATACCATAAAAAAAATACCTTTTTATATACAACCTTATGTGTCTTCCCTGTCTCGTGTTAACTGTTTGATTACAGATTTAAAACTGTGGTATAAAGAGATGAGTAATGGAAGACATCTGACATATAAAACTCAAAACTGTTGCACGCCGCCTGGAACGTCTCTTCAGGAAAACAGGACATTCTATAAGGACATGTATCTCAGCCATATACAACATTATAAAGAAGCTGTTTACCATGCTAAATCTGCTTAACCCACTTTTTTATTGAGTCCGCTGAAGAAAAAACTGATACTTTGTTTTCTACATTACACAATATTGTTAAACTTCCAATTACCTTTGCCATACATACACATGTGCTGCAGTCTGTAACAAATTTATGGATTTTTATTAATATAAAAATCATGAATCTTCATCAAAAATTGCCCTCTTCTTGTGATATGGTCAATTATTCTACTTGTGTTTTTTCCCATACTCAACTGTCATCTTCTTTATTGAGCTTTTAACTTCCTACAATGATTCAAATATCTTCTATAATTACTAAGTTAAAATCATCATTTTGTAAACTTGATCCACTGCTGACTAATCTTGTTAAACTCTCACTCCCGTCTCTTGCCCCACTGATCACTAATATCGTACACTCCTCTCTTATCTCTGGTTCTATTACATCTTCTCTTAAGACTGCAATGATAACTCCAATATTGAAAAAGAATGGTTCAGACCCCACCAATTAAAATCATTTCAGGCCAATTTCAAATTTGCCTTTCCTAGGCAAAATTCTCAAAAAGACAGTGGTTGCACAGGTTCATAGACATCTCACTGGAAATAATTTGCACGAACAGTTTCAGTCTGGCTTCCGTTCATCTCATAGTACAGAAACAGCTCTAGTAAAAATCACTAATGATCTTCTGCTTGCAGCTGACTCTGGACTCAACACTATCCTCATTCTGCTTCGCCTTACAGCGGCCTTCGATACTATCTCTCACTTCTTCATTTATTAGCATCTATTGGCATCAGTGATATAGGACTCGCCTGGTTTACCTCGTATCTCTCTGGCCATTCACAGTTTGTTCAATTACTTACTCATAGATCACCGTCTGCTCCAGTTAACTCCGGTGTACCCCAAGGCTCTGTCCTGGGTCCTTTACTTTATCTCCTACCGCTAGGTAATATTTTCAGAAAATATGGCATCAAATTTCACTGTTATGCAGATTTTTAATTTTTCCTTTATTTTTCCAGGTAAAAAATCTAAATGAGATTAAAAATCTAATTTCCAAGAGAGACCTGGCAGCATCATGACAGCAAAAGTCAAAAGATGACACCCAGCTCTACTTATCTTCCAAACCCACAGCCACTCCTGATTGTTTAAGTGAAATCAAGGTTTGGTTTACACATAAATTTCTCAAACTTAATGGCAACAAAACATAATTTATTTAATAGGTACCAAATCAAAACTGACTACTCACAAGTTCCTACCAGAAGTCTTTCATTACCCATTGATAACTATGTTGTCGCACCTCCCCCTCAGGTTAAGAGTCTTGGCAGCACTCTTTCCTTCACAGCACATGAAAATAATATCACTCAATCTTCTTAGTTTCATCTTTGTAGTATTAACCGTCAATTTCAAGATCCTGCTTTTTACTTTCAAAGCGCTTCATAACCTTGCTCCTCCATATTTATCTGATCTTCTCCATACGTACCCACCCCCTTGAACACTCCGCTCTTCTTCAGCTTCTATTCTGTCTGTTCCACCTGCTTGCCTGACTACCATGGGACTCACAGCCTTTAGTTGTTCTGCCCGAGATTTTAAAATGCACTTCCACAAGATCTCCGGACCACAAACTCTCTCTCTACTTTTAAACTGTATCTTAAACCCAGATATTCAGAATTGCATACCCTTCATCATGACTCTGTCTTGGTCTATTTTTACCTTGTTTAGCTTTTATACTTTGATACTTGTTTTTTTTTTTATCTTTGTTTACCTGATATTTTTATTTGTTGTACTAATGTAAGGTTACCGTGAGGGTCTTTAAAGGTGCCTATAAATAAAATGTATTATTATTATTATTATTATATGTTATGATTTTTGGTGATTTTTTTGTCTCTCGACTTTTTAAAAAAGTGTAAATACAGATTTGGGCAAAGATATGTTTATCCTGGCTGACAGGTTACATTTACCTGGGATGAGTTTATCGCTCCGGGCATCGTAGAGCATCCCTAAGGTAAAAGGTCGGCCGAGAGCAGCCACCTCGGTAATAGTTGAGGCCATGTTTCCTACACAAATAAAGACATCCAAACACATCAGTTTAGAGATGAGGTGACCATTCAGCATTCTTCAGGAGGTAACGCTGAGGCAACATAGGGAAGACACACAGAGGTAACACAGATGGACTAGTGACGAGCAAAGGAAAACACACACTGTAAGAGAAGAAAACACACACAAATAAGAGAAGATCCCTAAATCCAAAAGTTTTCACAGCAGAACACAAGAGAAATACGGTTAGGTTTAATGTATCTGTTGTAGGTTGCCATTTAAAAAGCTACACATTGTCATTTAAAAAGCTAGAATGCTTTTATTTGATCCCTATATAACCCATGAATATGAATATTTGCACGACCTCTAAAGGAACAAGCAGCCTTGAAAAGAACAGACTCTACTCAATGAAGGAAGCCACCTGACGGGACAAGATACTGACATCATCCTGGGAGGGCTGCACTCACATCGTATAACCACGCTTGCACAACACACTTTGTAACCATATATAGTAATTTCTCTTAGTTAACACAACAACAAGCTTTATGAATATTCATATGTGTAAACAATAAAAACGACCTGCAGGGGGGAAGCAAGTTGAAATGTGTTGGAGACAACTGCTTCCCTCTCGCGAGTGAAAACTTGAGCTCTGTGTGACCTCGTTCCTGAGTGAGTTTCTGTTTATCCAGCAGTATCAGGGGTAAAACTCTGACAAATACCATCTGGACATCACAGGTTCTGTACAGCATGAGGGTTAATGTTAGGGTGCATGTTTCTTTTGTTCTCCTCCCCCACCTGTAGGATGGGGAGGAGGTTAGAGTGGTTAATTGCAGACATTCTATGTAAGGTTCTGGTTCCTTATTTAGTAAGGGATGTTTACTTCCTGCCCTTCATGGGCATGAAATTGAATGGATCGATCTTTGATTGTCTTGCTTTGTTCACGGTGATAAGTCTCTGAACCAGGTCCACGAAGGATACACCTGACACATCCTTTAAATCTGGGAAAAATAGGACACATTTCTCACTTGGAGGAGTCTTCAAATTTGGACAGTCCTCATTGTGTCGCTGTGACGTAATTGCCTACAAATACATCCATCGAAGCATGCTACCCCTTAATTTGGACACAGCTTATATGAGCAAAGAGAAAAACAAGGAAACTGCACACAGGAGGGAGACATGGCTGAACCTATTTAAACATGAGAAGACAGGGAGGAAGCAAAACAGAATACAAGACATGGACCTTCAAAGTAAAACAGGAAACAGAACACAGGGAGGCCACATAACAAAACCTGAAACTAGAATTCAGGAAATACTAAAGAGCTAAGGAGCTAGACATACTGAGAGAGAAACCAAATCAGTACAGTGATTAACCATGAACATTTTAACCTTCATTTGTGCAATGTCTCTGGAAATATCCTGTGTCAGATGGATGCTGAAAAACATGTTCATTTGTTACTTCTAGGCTGGACAACTGTAATTCATTATTATCAAGCTATGTGTTTAGATGCCTCTCTGCCTTTAATCATTACTTATTATTAATTTCCTGGTCACTTCCATGGTGTGTCTTTTGTCTTGTCTTCCTTCCGTAGCCCTAACTCTGCAGATCACTGCCCCTCCCTGAGCCTGGATCTAAAGGAGGTTTCTTCCTGTTAAAAAGTTTTTCCTTTCTTTTGTCACCAAGTGCTTGCTTATAGGGGGCTATTGTCTGTATTATTGTCAGAAGTTGAAAGTAATGAAGTACAAATCTTTGTACTGTACTTACCTGCAATTTTCAGGTATTTGTATACTTGTATAATTTTCAGTATTTATTTTTCTGACTGCTTTCTTATTTTTGCTCCTTACATTTTTAAAAAATTCTCTCTACTTTTTATTTCTTACATTTTCAAAACAGGCTTGTTACTTTGCTTTTGTGTGAAGTCATTATTCTACATCACTGCAAGCCTCCAAACATGAAACTGATCTGAGCATAAACAGAAACATCCATCCATCCATTTTCTTCGTCTTATCCGGGGCCAGGTCACAGGTGCAGCAGCCCAAGCAGAGAAGCCCAGACCTCCCTCTCCCCAGCCACTTCTTCCAGCTTGTCTGGGGGAACACCCAGGCATTCCCAGGCCAGCAGAGAGATATAATCTCTCCAGTGTGTCCTGGGTCTGCCCCGGGGCCTCCTCCCAGCGGGACATACCCACAACCCCTCACCCAGGAGGCGCCCAGAAGGCATCCTTGTCAGATGCCCAAACCACCTCAACTGGCTGCTTTCCATGTGAAGGAGCAGCGGCTCTACTCTGAGCCCCTCCCGAATGGCCGAAATATCTCTAAGGGAGAGGCCAGCCACCCTTCGGAGGAAGCTCATTTCTGCCGCTTGTATCCGCGATCTCGTTCTTTTGGTCACTACCCACAGCTCGTGGCCATAGGTGAGGGTAGGGATGTAGATCGACCGGTAAATTGAGAACTTTGCTTTTACACTCAGCTCTCTCTCCACCACAATGGACCAGTACAGCATCCACATCACTGCAGCCGCAGCACCAATCCGTCTGTCGATTTCCCGCTCCCTTCTCTTGTCACTTGTAAACAAGACCTGGAGATACTTAAACTCCTCCACTTGGGGAAAGGTCTCGTCCCTGACCCAGAGTGGGCAATCCACCCTTTTCTGAAAGGATTATGAAAGGAATCCTGTTCATTTATTAATCACCAGAGGATTGTTCATAAAAAGAGAGGTCAGGGGTTAAAGTATGATGGTGGCGTTTTTTGTTTTTTTTCACCACAACACCAGAACGACTGCAGGTGTCCGTAAGTTGGAGTTGCCATACTTCAGCATCGATGTAGTGCTACAGAGGAGGAGCGAACATAAAGGGAGTAACATGTTGTGTCGGGCAATTTGAAATGCAGCGTTTCTATCAGCTCAACAAACACCAGCAAACACACAAACTGTGTGCAGTTTGTCTCACAGTGTGTTGCAGCTAAAGGTCCAGCTGCTGTATTTCACAGGGAGAGAAAGAAAGAAAGCTAACTTTACTCAGAGACAACAATTCTGATGCAAAAGAGATGGAAAAAGATAAAAAAAAAAAAAAAAAAGACAGGAGAGAAAAAAGAGAGCTCAGATTTATAGATAATTCATTTAAAGCTCACATGTAAATCCTCATGTTTTTAAATCTGTACATGTGACATTAAGTTTTTCCATATTGTGAAACATGCTGTTAAATAAACTGAGGCAGACTAACCGTTTTTTAAAGACTGCATGAAGATCCTCTGCAATTTAATGCATGACAAACATGTTAGTTTGCTGCACTATGATTGATTTAGTAAGTAAGTAAAGAACAGTGTGTGACTGGTGCACAGTGGCTGTGGTTTCATGGTCACAGTTAGCTTACATCAAGTGTAGCAGAGATGGTAAATGGTAAATGGATTGATTCACTTTTCTACTCTCCTGGAGCACTCAAAGTGCTTTATACAGCATGCCACATTCACCCATTTTGAGTGTGACCGAAGAGGAGCAAAAGTGTTTTTTCCCGTCTTCCCCTCCTTGGTGAAAGAGACAAGTCCCCGGGTCCTCGGTGACGCATGACAGAAATGATCCAGCCGTAAAACGGAGTCAGCGGACTCAGACCCCGCTCAGCAGGCAGCCGTCTCTCCGGAAGCATTACTGGACTGACACAAAATACCCAACACTCGGCAATGCTCACTCAAGTGCTCACTCAGTGCGTGCCTCTGGTAAGCACACCTTCATCTTCTCCATCTCCCTCTCCACAGCCCCCAGTGCCTCGGCTCTACATACCTCCCTTACCAGCTTTGTCGGAGGCCCTTTGTTTTCATTTCAAGTCTTTATGGCTTTTCCTATAATACCTGGTGGGCCGGTCTCTTGTCAAAATGCCCAGTCTGATTTTTTGTCCCAGTCGAGCCCTGACGTCACAGCAGTTCCATCTGTTTATCATGACCTTGAGGAGGTATTTAGAAAAGATTCATCATAACCCCCTCACATGTCATATGATTGTGCAATAGACCTCCTCCCTGGCACATCGCTTCCCACCAGTCGGTTATACAGCCTCTCACAGCCCAGTTGGGAGGCTATGGAAAAAATATATATTAGTGAGTCTGTCGCTGCAGGAATAATCCATCCCTCTTCATCTCCAGTGGCTGGAGGATTTTTTTTTTTTTGGTGAGATAAAGGACAAGAGCCTGCTGCACTGTGTTGACTATCATGGTCTCAATAACATTACTGTTAAAATAAATAAATATCCATTGCCATTATTGACCTCTACTTTTGAACTTCTCAAATTCAAATTCAAATTGTATTTGTCACACACACAACCATACACAGTACATGTGAAATTTTTATTGCAGTGCAATGCCCGACCATTAAAGAATTTACAGATTTAGAGATTATGACCATATTTACAGATTTTACCTTAGAAATTTACAGTAAAAAAAAAAAAGTGCAAGTAATGGTTTAAGAGAGAAATTATAAGAAGTGTGCAAATAAACAGAGTGCGTGCAGTGACGTGATGTGTGAGATTCCAGTCCTACACCCGGTTCAGGACCCAAATAGCCTGGGGGAAGAAGCTCCTCCTCATTCTTTTCTATTTTGGCCTTAAGGGAGCGGAAGCACTTCCCAGACCTCAACAGTGAGAAGAGTCCATTGTTGGGATGGGAGAGGTCCATCATAATCTCCTAGCTTTGGTCTTGCACCACTTAGTGTAGACAGACAGCAGGTCAGGAAGCTCTGATTGAATGATGCATTCGGCCGAGTGTGCCACTCTTTGCAGATCTCTGGAGTATATTCGGTCGCCGAAATGACTGAATGTCCGAGAAGCCAGGTGGGCACCTTTGTTCACTCGGTTTCACTTCACTGTCACCTACAGACCTGGATCACGCAACGTTAAACCCAATGCGCTTTCTCTCCAATTCGCCGCCCCCAGGAACATGGCCCACAACTCTCCCATTCTCCCCTTTGCATGTATTGTCTGAGCAATAACCTGGGATATCGAGTCTGCCATTAAGGAAGCCCAATAACCGGACCCCGGAACTGGCCCTCCTGCATTACTCTTTGTCCCCTCCTCAGTTCGGTCGCAAGTACTGCACTGGGCACACACAGCCAAATTCACTTAGCTGTGTGTGCGGGGGTCCACCGCACCATCCCATTCATTAAACTCTTTGCCTG